TGTGAAAAAAGCTTTAATTTATTATATTTTAAAAATATCAACTCAATTTAATTGAGAAAGTATTTTATATTATTTCACTTTCAATTTGAAAAAAATGTATGAAAACCTTGAAATAAATATGGTCTACTACACCCCATGCCCACCTTTAGACTTACCCCTGTTTGCTTCCATGTAAAATAGGATGGCTGCCATCAGCCGTCAGCAAGCGGTATAATTTAAATAATGTAGTAATAATAATGTATGACTTCACTAACCAGGGTAAAAATTTGATCCCCTGCTGCATCTGCAAGTTTGCTCACTTCTAAAGAAATGAACAGTCAGTAATTTATGTGGTAGTGTGGTGGACCACTAGAAGGATCCACTCACAGTGTTGAGGAAGTGTGTTGCTGTGTTTTGTGGCGCTATATTTAGCGAATGGTCCCGGCCCAGGCCCCTCGCCACGGCCGCCCACCTGCCACCGGGCTGATGGATTCTGTTTTTTAACCCCAGGAGCGCCCCACAACCAACGGAGCCCGAGCTGTCTGCAGCTTTTTCTGACCACCAGTGCCAGCTTCGCTCCCGGGAATAGACTAGTTCTGCTGGGTGTTTGGGAGGGGGGGCATGTGTGGTGGACCACTAGAGGGCTCCACTCACACCCAGTGTTGAGGAAGTGTGTTGCTGTGTTTTGTGGCGTGATGTGTTCAGTTGATGTTGGAGAGGAATAAAGAAGGAGTGAGAACTGAGAGCTCTGTGTCGTCCATGCTTGCCTCCACAGTAGTTCCACGCAGATTCATCAGGGATCAAAAACATTATTTCCTCACTTTATGAACAGAGAGCTGTGTTTGAAGCAGGGCACTGACAAGGGAAGCTAGCAAAACTTGTGAGGAGATTTACAGTGTTTCATATTGGTCCACATTTAAATGTATCTGTTATAAAAAGCTTTCATCAAATTTAATAATAATTACCAGATTTGTTATCACCCATCATTAGTTAATGTGTATCTGTTTGCTGTAACTGAAACTGTATGACCTCACTAACTGTTTGGGTCAACCTAACCTTGATGTTTTAAAAAGGGGGTATTCATGCATGTAATCTATTGCTGTCTAAGGGCTGTAGTATCACAGTGTGGTAATTATCAAATTTAATAAGACTGCTTTTAACTCACTGGTTTAGAAGTAGATTAAACCAGACTTGTTAAAACACCAAAGTTAAAGTAGCAGACTTTTTCATCAATGGAGTCTATTTACTGAAAAGACATAAATAGACATTCTATTATTTTCGGTTAGAAAGGACTGATGATTTGCTGCTGATCCCATTGTAACCAGTTGATTGCTTACCTCAAATTCCATTTTTTGAAATTTGCTTAAATGTCTTAAATAATGAAGACAAACGAGTTACCGAGTTAGGTAGGCTTCTTAAACTGCAAAATAAAAGCAGAGTTTCAGTCATAATTTCAGAAACAGCAAAGGGAAAATATAATCTCACAGAAAAAATAGTCAGTTAACAGCCTTGAACTAATCTTAATCAGTAGCTCATCCAGTTCACAATCCATCATTATTCACAGTTTATTGTAATGTGTCATGTAGTGAAGAAAGTGATGTGGTTGTATTGCACAAACTAATGAGAATCTAATAACAACAAATATGACCTTGACCTTGAGCAAAATTTGGCGAAAACCCATTAGGTGATCAGTGTGTGTAATTTTGATTAAATCCAGTCTAATATTCTAAGAGGAGTCACCATGGCATGAGCTCATCACTCCTTTGGGTAAGTAAATGAGTTTAGGAGGAAAAAAACTTCAATTCAAAATCCCCAAAAGTTGATTCTGTTCATCTGGAAATAACACTTTCAATGTGAGAAACAATTCATTACTCATTCATTACTTCTTCAGTCTCAGCTGAATGCACGTTTCACCAACCTCATAAACAGTACATTTGCATAATGACTGACACTAGCACAACTCACGAACATGACCATGGATTGTCATGACAATTTGCATATTAATGATCAAGGAACTGACTTCACAGTTGATTGTTCATCAGTGGTTCTAGTTTCATTCATTATGCAATGTTCTGATTATAAGGTTGGAAAAACTTGCAGTCAGCTGAGTGAAGAAGTCACCG